TAAGGAGTCATGAAATAAATGAAATATGGTATCCAGGAACAAAATAAGGATATTAGTGAAAAATTGAAGAAGTCCCAAGTGTCCGTATTTTAGTTAATATTGTAGACTTGGGCACAGTGGCACATGCCTTATAATCCCAGAAACTTGGGAGACTGAGGCAGGAGGATCATACATTTAAGGCCAGCCTGGGCAACTTAGCAAGACCCTGCCTCTAAATTAAAAATAAAAAGGAGTGGGGATGTAGCTCAGTGGCAAAGCACCTCTGGATTCATCTGTAGTACCAAATTATAATACAGTAGAAGTGTTTTAAATTTTGATAAATGTAGCATGGTTATATAAGATGTTAACATTAGAGGAAGTGAGGTAAAGGGTATCCACAAACCATCTGTACCATTGTTGCAACTTTTTGATAAATGATTAAAGAGGAAAAACAAAGTGGAGATATAGTTCAGTGGTAAAGCACTCATCTGATATACATAAGGTCCTGGGTTCAATCCCCCACACCACAAAAGATAATTTTTTAAAAAAATTAAGAATCATCTAGTGAAAAAGTACCAATACAGATAAGTTCTGTAGGGGTATATTGTAGTTTGAATTTGGAATGTTCCAAATTCCAAATTTGGAACAGGTTTGGTTCCCTTTGCAGCAATATTCAGAGGTGGTACTTTTAAGGAAGTGATTGGATCATAAGAAYTCTGATCATATCAACAGGTTAATATAAAGATGGATTAATAATTTAATGGACTATTGGTAGGTGATGGAATCTGAAGGAGGTAACACCTAGAGGAATTGGGTCACTGGGGACATGCCCTAGAAGGGTATATCTGGCCCCTCCTTCCTGTTTGCTGGCCACCATGAATAGCTCTGCCCCATCACATGTTCCCTGCCATGATGTTCTGTCTCACCACAAGCTCACAGTGATGGGGCCAAGTGATTATGCACTGAGCAAAAACAAATCTTTCCTCCTCTAGGTTGATCTTCCTGGGTTATTTTGTGATAGCAATGAAAAGGTGACTAACACGGGGTATATCTGTATTTGGTTCCTGGTTCTCTTTACAGATACATGGCTGAATTAAATTTCCCTTCCCCCTTGACATTTGTATAGCCATGAGACTTCTCTGTTAATATTTATGAAATCTGAGTGGGAGTGGTGTGTTTTATTTCCAGGTGGAAGATCTAAGTGCCAGCAGTTACTTGCTGCATGAAGCAAAGTCCCTAGTGTGGATTAGACCCCCCTCACTGGACATATACCATGAATAAGAAATCAATCTTTACTATTTCAAGCTGTTGAGATTTGGGGGTTGTTACCACAGTATAACCTCAATACTTAACTGATATAGAGACACCCATCATCCGGATGGAAATATTAGATATTTGAAAGAATGTCAGTTTCACATGTATATTTTCAAAAAACTGAAAAATTGAATCCAGGTTTCATCTGATTGATTAAATACAAACTAGTAGCCATTTTTGTGAAAGAATAATGAGGTGATACTTGTACCACTGGAAAATAAAAAGAATAGTCAAGTTAGCACTTATTAAATACTTAACTTAGACCAAGTCAGTTTTTCACTACTCAATTCCTTTAAAACTATTAAGAGCCCCATGAAGTAGATACCATTATTATGACCATTTTTTAGGTGGGGAAAGGGAGGCATGGAGATTGGAACTCAAACAGTTTTGTTCCAGGTCCATGCATTTAGCCACTGTTACTCAGTCTCTCTAAGGAAGTATTTTTTAAGCCTTCTGTGATGAAGGACCAGTTGTTTGTTTTTTTTGTTTTAATCTGACTTATCATGAAATAATACTTCAGTAAAATATCATTACTAGTAAAATGAAATAAAAAACAAAATGCAAGGCTATGTTTTTATTATTAAATTTGTCAGCTCTAAGATTACTTTTCAAATGTCTATATAGTTCTAAATGCTTATTCTCAACCTCTATATTTATCAAACTATTAATAACTTATGGGCTAGCACTAGTCTGTGAACCAAACTTTGAGGGTCTTTGCTCAAGATTTCCAAAACAGATATATATACCCAGTGCAGTGATGCACGCCTGTAATCCCAGCAGCTCAAGAGGCTGAGACAGGAAGATTGCAAGTGCAAAGCCAGCCTCAGAAAATTAGTGAGGTCCTAAGCATCTTAGCAAGATGCTGTCTCAAAATAAAATATAACAAATGGGGGGGGGCTGGGGCTGTGGCTCAGAGGTAGAGCGCTCGCCTACAATGCATGAGGCACTGGATTCGATCCTTAGCACCCCATAAAAATAAAATAAAGATATTGCATCCACCTATAGCTAAAAAWTAAATATTTAAAAAAATATATGTAATAAATGGCTGGGGATGTGGCTCAGTGGTTATGCACCCTCGGGTTCAATCCCTGGTGCCAAAAATAAATAAAAATAAAAATAGTTGGGGCTGGGGATGTGGCTCAAGCGGTAGTGCRCTCACCTGGCATGCGCAGGGCGCTGGGTTCAACSTTAACACCACATAAAAATAAAATAAAGATATTGTGTCCACCTAAAACTAAAAAAAATATTTTAAAAAATAGTTGTATAAAAATTTAGTATATGAGAAAGATGCTTTTGTAGATGGGTAGGAGAGGATATGTCCTATGATCCCACAGTCTAGAGACTACAACTCTAGAACTTACCCAGGCACTGGGAGACACTCAAATTTTTCACTTAATAAGAAGAACCTAAAGGATAATTATGTTAAACATAACTGGATCTTCTCTTCAACTCCTCAGGTACATCCAGTGGTCCCTTAATGCATGGGGGACATGTTCCAAGACTGCTAGTGGAAACATGATAACACAGATGATGATATTGCGCCCTATATATACTATGCCCTGTTTTCTTTTCTTTCTTTTKGGGAGGATACCAGGGATTGAACTCAGGGGCACTCAACCACTGAGCCACATCCCCAGCCTTATTTTGTATTTTATTTAGAGACAGGGTCTCACTGAGTTGCCTAGTGCCTCATTTTGCTGAGACTGGTTTTAAACTATTGATCCTCCTGCCTTAGCATCTGGAGCTGCTGGGATTACAGGCACACACCACCAAGCTCAGTGTCTATGCCCTGTTTTGTTCAGACACATCTAGGATAGTTTTATTTATAAATGGGGCACCATAAAAGATTAGCCACAAGACTAATTGGATAATTATAACACTATACTGTAGCAAAAGTGAGGTGTTTGGTCTCTCTCTCTCTTTCAAACTATCTTGTAGTGTACTCAGCCTTCTTGCAGTGCCATGAGATAATACAAATCCTTTGGGATGAAATGAAGGGAGGCAAATGCTGTAGGCATTGTAATGTGGTGTTGGGCCACTATGCGAGGGCTACCTGAACATGAGCCCTCTAATATCATTACAGTTGATCTAAGTAAATAAATGGGAAAAGAGATGATTTGTGTTCTGGGTGGGCTGGGTAGGACGGAGCAAGACATCATCATGCTACTCAGAATGGCATGCAATTTAAAACTAATGAATTGCTTATTTCTGCAATTTCCCATTTAATATTTTCAAGCTATGGTGGAAAATAGGTAACTGAAATCACAAAAAGTGAAACCATGGATAGGGTGAACAACTGCATTCATTCTTACTAAAGGCTGTTCTTGTCTTCTCACAGCAAACGTAATATGATCCCACAAATACACTATGACCTGGGTGTATATCTCCAAGATAAGAAGTGAGGGRAAGACACTTAAGATTCAATAAGGCTGAATCTATTGAACATATAAGCCTACATTATTACCCATCTGATACTGCTAGCCTTAACAAGGGTGTTTTTGTAAAATTTTCAGGGAAATGGAAGACAGACAACTAGAGCTTCCTTYTGCCTATAACCCATAATTTTAGGAGAGAAAAAAACAAAATTAAAATTAGTCTCCCCCACTTTTTTTCCTAGGCAGTGTTGGGGGTTGTACCCAGGGCCTGGTGTTTGCTAGGCAACCACTCAGCTACACTCCCATCCCTTCAGTAACTTTTAGAATAATGCATAGTTCTCTGCAGGATTTCTGGGTAGGATTATAAATCATAAATTTCAAATTAACCTCAAGTAGACCTTCCAGTCACAAGGTAAATATGGAAGTTGTGATCCAAAAGGTATATTTAGAGCCTTTGYATGAGGCAAATATGAAAAGATAGAAGCATGACCTATAAAAACATCAGCTGATATTCTTATCCTCTGGCTGAGAGGTCTTAGGACATTGGGAAGAAAAGGTAAAGTCCCTCAGATGACTTCTCCATGTAAAATCTGGAATCTGGGCAAAGTGACAGAAAATTGCAGTACACCTAAACTCCCCAAATTCTTAAAATCCATTTGTATCCCACAGTTCAGTGGTATATCTATGAGAGAATCCTATTGACCAGAACAAAATCCCTGTCATATAGTCCTGGCTTGTCTTATACATAAGTCCTTGAATTCTTGAAGAGTTTCCTTCTTCCTTAAGCCTTAGAAGGAGCCTAAAGGAATTACCTCATCCATAAGATAGAATTTTGGGAAAACAAAAAGGTTCTGGAGGGCTGGGGTTGTAGCTCAGTGGTAGAATGCTTGCCTCCCAGCGCTAGGTTCAATCCTCMGCACCACATAAAAATAAATAAATAAAATAAAGGTATTGTGTCCATCCACAACTGAAAAAWAAATATGTATTGAAGTAAGTATTTAAAAAGTTCTTGTTTTCCTATAGTAAGACCATGTAAGTCCACAGTAAGTCCATGAATAGGAATGTTTCACCTTCCAACATGTTTGAGGCTTTATAAACCTCAATTTGAAAGAGACACAATTTTGTGATTTTTTTTTCCAAGAATGTCAATTACTCTGGTGACTAATGTTTTCAAGTCATGTGGCAAGCCAAAGGAGACTGGGTCTGGTTTTAGTACCTTGGCTTCTCACCTTTCATCTGGGCAGTTGGTTCTGAGAAGAGGGCTGTTTCTACGTGAGGAACCTAATGTTGTCCTACTTACATTCCAGTTTTGTTTTGTTTTTTCTTTTGCAGTGCTGGGGATTAAACCCATGGCCTTAGACAAATGAGGTGAGCACTGTACTTMTCCACTACATTCCCAGCCCTATGCTAGTTCTTTCTAAATGCCCTGATGCTGTACTGACTCAGCCTTCCTTCCCTCACTAACTTTATCTTCCATCAAATGAGAGTTCTTTAGCTCTCTATTCAGACCAAGTGTTGGTAAACATTACTCTTGTTCCTCCTCCAGAAATCTAAAGCAGTTTCAAAGAGTACAGATGTGGCTCACTTTCTTGCAGTTCTAGTAATACTTAATGTGAAATCAAAATAGAAACATATCAGAATATCCATATTCTTGATCTAAATGCACATGAGAACACAAGTAGGGCTGTACGTAAGAGTTTCTGACACTTTATTTTTATAATCTTACTAAGAAAATAGCCCCTGGGAGCCAGAGACTGGGGAGGCTGAGGCAGGAGAATTACAAGTTCAAAGACAGCCTTAAGAACTTAGGGAGCACCTGCCTCAAAAATTAAAAAAGGGCTGAGAATGTGGCTTAGTGGTTAAGTGTGCCTGAGTGCAATCCCCAATACCAAAAAGAAAAAGAAACAAAAAAAAAAGAAAGAAAGAAAATAGCCACTGGTATCTTCAGGCTTTGCATCTGTAGCACAAGTGGTATCATCCTTCCCATGAGTAGTGCACTTTCATTCCCAGCACAGAAAGTACACGTTGCCTTGTGTGTCTCCCACAGCAAGGTGCAAGGTAGAGTTGGGTCCCAGCCAAGGTTCCAAGCAGCTCACTGCTCCTTCACATCGGAACAGGCCCAGCTAAAAAAGGAATGAAAACAAGAGTTGGTGAGGGCTATAAAAGTAGGATCTCCTTCCTAACTTATTTTTCGCTCATGTCAGTGTCTTTTATTTAGAAACAGGTAAGTCAGCACAAGAGGGATTTAAGAAACAGATTTCTAAAAATCTTTTGCCCTTACCCTAAATTTGTTCTCTTGCAATATTCCATTAGCCCCTATTGGACATGCATACACACACACACACACACACACACACACACACACACTTACCAGTTGCATACTGGGTCTCTCCCACAGCTTAACATCTCTATCCTTTGAAGCTGTCACCAGCAACTCAGGCAGCACATGGAGGGCTGTGACAGAGCCTGAGTGAATCTGAAAGGAATGGGACAGTGGCAAGGTGAGTCCTCAGTTAAGGAAGCATAGAAGCCTGCTATGTAGATCTAGAGCCTCCTCTACTACGTTTGTGACCCCTCCCTCAAACTCACCTTTCTACACTGCCGTGTCTTTAGATGTCTGGTTGTCTGCCAGGATTCCATGTTGGTATCTAATTCACAGCACATAGATGAGTCTGTTTCTGGAGTCTGKGTTTTAGGCATTTTTACTTTTTTCTGCCAGAGATGACCTGTGGTCCATTCTCCTTCAGGGGTGCATGCAGCCAGGTTCCACAGYATCCCATCAGAGCTGGCACACAAAAATGAGGACTCTGCCATTTTAAAGGGATAGTTAGAGCCAGATCTCAGGCCCTAAAGGGACTGCGAGGTCCCCTAAACCATCTTAGGGATCCTTGGGTCCTCCTATTCCCACTCACCAGATTCAGGTTTGGCCTGAGTTATTGTTATCTGGGTCCTACTAGGATTATCTAAATTCAAGTCAAAATCTGGGCTTCCTTCAAACTCTCCTGATTCCTTTTGTTTCTGTGAAAAGACAGGTAACTTTGTTTAGCTATCCATATCTGTTGGATGAAGCAAGAGTTTTCTGCCCTAGGATAGTCAGGATGCTTTTTTAAAAGTATAGTATAGGGCTGGGAATATTGCTCAGTTGATAAAGCACTTGACTAGCCTGTACAAGGACCTGGGTTGAATCCCTAGCACCACATGAAAAAGATAAATATTATAATGTAGATACAGAGAAGTACACAAATCTTAAATGTATATTGCAAGGAATTTTTATACATGCATCCATGCCACTACCCCCAAAGTTACCCTCTTGCCCCTTCCTAGTCAATTCCAGGCTATCCCCAGAGCCAACAACATTCTGACTTCTGTCACCACAAGTAATTTGCTTGTTCTGGAACTTCAACTAAGTGCAATTGTGTAGTACAGACTCCTCTGAGTCCAGCTTCCTTTGCCTAGAAAAATGCTTATGATATAAGTCTGTATTGTTTCATTCATCAACATTCAATATAACATTCTTTTTTATTGCCATGTAGCATTCCATTGTATAAATATTTGACAAATTATTTATCTTTTTCCTATATATAAACTTTTAGGTTGTTTTGGTTATGAAAAATAAAGCTGCTATCATCATTCTTATACTTATCTTTTGAGAGAAGGTGCACTCATTTCTTTTAGGGATATGCTTAGAAGTGGAATCACTGGGTCATGGATAGGCTTTAATACGTAGCAGGTCAGGATTTAATAAACTTTCTGGAGACAAGGGGCTCATCCTTGAAGTAAACATCTAAGAAGTATCAGATGCCTACAAGGTAACTATYTGCTAAGCATGATGAGAGAGACAAGATGCAGTCCTTGCCTGCAAGATGCTAACATTCACAGCAGCAAGACAAGAGATGTGGGGGAAAAAATGCATTGAGAAAGCTCCTAGGTTTATAATTTCCCACAATGTTTAAGAAAGTAGAACTCTTTTTTGTACCAATGAAATCTCACATGGAAACCCAATATCTAAAGCTSTAAAATAGTGTTGCTCCAGCTGAAGGAGGATAAGGAGATTTGAAGCCAAATGCATTTCCCTTCCCCATATCCTGCATGATGGGCCTCGTGGTTTAAAAACACTGGTCCTAGACAAATGTCAGTTTTAACACATACCCAGATAGGACTTACCCAGAAAGAAAGACATCCAGGGTTCCCTGGCTGCAGGAAAAACACACCATACTCCTTATGGGTGGACAATATCACAGGATGTTGTGCATACYTTTTCCTGGTTTATAAGAAAGTGAGAGGCTGAGCCAGGACCACTTTTCTTAAAGACCTCAGYGTTTGTTCTAAGTTTTACTCTACTTCAGGGTAACCACTATCCCACTTTTTCTTTCTCCAGCTTAGGAGAGAARAGCATTTCAGATCTTACCCTATTACAGAGGGAGCATCCCCTGGCTTCATGTGTAGTAATTCCAAATCTGCTTTGGCCAAGATGAGGGAACATCCATCAGGGGCCAGGCCCAGCCCTATCAGCACCCCCACATCTTGCAGAACTTGTTTCAGGTGAAGACTATAGCTAGAAAAATGTACATGGACAGACAAAGATCCTACTTTAGTTGACCTCCCTTAGTTCCCCATGAATTCTTCATGAGTGAAGCACAAAGCAAAAGGCACTAATGCCCCCTCCAAACCCTGTTCCTTATTTTTCTGTTTGTTTTTGCAGGACTAGGGATCAAACCCAGGACTTTGAGCATGCCAGACAAATTCTCTACAACTGACTGATGTTCTCAGCCCCTATTTTTCTTATATTCACCATCACTGTTCCTTTGCTTGCTCAAAGTAGGAATTGCTAACATTTTTATTTTTCCCTCATATTCCTACCTGCAACTGATCAATAAGTCCTGTGGATTCTTAAATACTTAAATCTGTACTTATACTTAAATACTATACACATACTTAAATCTGTATATTTTCTTCTCATCTCTACTGCCCATATCAGGGCTCACACTGTGTCTTCTCTTAGTATTTCTCCATCACGGTCCATCCTGTATATTATCACTAGAGTTCTCTCTCTAAAGTTCAGATCATGGGGAATAGGGGTGCAGTGGAACAGTGTGTGCTTAGTGTGTGTGTGCAACCTTGGGCTTGATCCTCAGCACCAAGAATATAAATAAGTAAATAAATGATAAATAARATTCATATCATTATTCTATTCAAAATAATCAGCACTGTACTCTCTACAACCTAGCCCCAGTTTACCTTTTCAATCTAATCCTCCACCTGCCCAGCTGCCTCTCYCTGCAAGAACCCAAGATCTTGGCTACACTCAGAACATTATGTACCCTCATGCCCTCAGAACTTCATTAATGCTATTTCCTTTTCCAGAAACACTAAAAGAAGGGAACTTCTTTTACTAGTCCAGAAAAGTCCTTTCCATTCTTTATGCCCAACCTCAAATGCCAACTCTTTCCTACAATTTCTCAAATTCTGCAGTCCCAGGAACAACTATAGGCTTCCTTAGTTAATAAAATTAATTTGTTTTTTTTTGTTTTTTTTTTTTGTTTTTTTATTGTTGGTCATTCAAAACATTACATAGTTCTTAATACATCATATTTCACAGTTTGATTCAAGTGGGTTATGAACTCCCAATTTTACCCCGTATACAGATTGCTGTATCACATCAGTTACCCTTCCATTGATTGACATATTGCCTTTCTAGTGTCTGATGTATTCTGCTGTCTGTCCTATTCTCTACTATCCCCCCTCCCCTCCCCTCCCCTCCCCTTTTCTCTCTTTACCCCTTCTACTATAAATCATTTCTTCCATTTGTATTATCTTGTCTTACCCCTCCTTTCCTCTTATATGTCATTTTGTATAACCCTGAGGATCGCCTTCCATTACCATGCGATTTCCCTTCTCACTTCCTTTCCCTCCCACCTCTCAACCCTGTTAATGTAAATCTTCGTCTCAAGCTCTTCGTCCCTACCCTGTCCTTGTTTCCTCCCCTTATATCAAAGGAGTCATTTGGTATTTGTTTTTTAAAGATTGACTAGCTTCACTTAGCATAATCTGCTCTAATGCCATCCATTTCCCTCCAAATTCTATGATTTTGTCATTTTTTAATGCAGAGTAATACTCCATTGTGTATAAATGCCACATTTTTTTTTATCCATTCATCTATTGAAGGGCATCTAGGCTGATTCCACAATCTTGCTATGGTGAATTGTGCTGCTATGAACATCGATGTAGCAGTGTCCCTGTAGCATGCTCTTATTAGGTCTTTGGGGAATAGACCGAGAAGGGGAATAGCTGGGTCAAATGGTGGTTCCATTCCCAGCTTTCCAAGAAATCTCCATACTGCTTTCCAAATTGGCTGCACCAATTTGCAGTCCCACCAGCAATGAACAAGAGTGCCCTTTTCCCCGCATCCTCTCCAGCACTTATTGTTGTTTGACTTCCTAATGGCTGCCAATCTTACTGGAGTGAGATGGTATCTTAGGGTGGTTTTGATTTGCATTTCTCTGACTGCTAGYGATGGTGAGCATTTTTTCATGTACTTATTGATTGATTGTATGTCCTCCTCTGAGAAGTGTCTGTTCAGGTCCTTTGCCCATTTATTGATTGGGTTATTTGTTATCTTATTGTCTAATTTTTTGAGTTCTTTATATATTCTGGTAATAAAATTAATTTGTATCTGGTTCACACTGCCTGGCCTAGAGCTTGTCATCAAGTGGGCATTTGAGAATTATTCATTTAAATTGTCATGACCAGAAGCAGAAAACAATTGCCTGCACAACAACTAACAACCTATTGACCTTGTTCAGAAGCAGGAGTGGAGTTATTTGAATAAAATCCCTAGTACAGGGAAACGACCATTCCTACTACATTCATCCAGCTGCTTTGTTTCACCTGAAATTTCTGGATGTTGAATCCTTCTGTAGTTCCACTTGCCACTCACTGATCTTTTCATCAGCACTGAGGACAAAGAAGGTGTGTGCTGAGCACCAGATCAGAGCACTGACACGGCCTGGAGMCTGGTGTATAAGACAAGTTTCATTCATTATTTCTGAGGACACAGGATTAACTTTCTTTCCCCTCCCAGACATATAAGCAACCTCTAGCCCTAGCAAATACCAGGAAATACACAACCAGGGCAGAATTCACGTGGACAGAGAAATGAATTGCCTCAACTCACCTGTGCTGTGGCCACAGACTTAGCTTCCTGCCACAGAGTTAATTCCCCAACTTGATTGCCAGACACTGCCACAGAACCATCTGGTGCCCAAGCCACAGCAGTGATGGCTGCAGAACTCTTAGGTCTGTATGTTTCATCTGCAAAAGGCAGGAAGTGATTTGTTAGGAGCTAAGCTACTGCTGGGCTACAAGAAATGACAGCAGTTACCCTTGACCTTCTCTGTTTTGGTAACACAACCCTCTCTCATGCCTTGCCTCTGTCCATACTTCACTTACCTGTTTTTTTAGGTACCTGCCAGAGCCGCACAGAACCATCCTCTGAGGAGGTGAGCAGGAGGCCTGAGGTCTCTGAAACAGCAGCTGCACTGACKGGGCCACTGTGTCCCAGGAGGGTGTGTTTTTGGCACACCTAKGAGGAAGGGTTGCAGATGGGCCATTGAGGGGTCTGACCCTACAGATGATTATCCCACRTACCTTCTACACCTTCCTCCACCTCATTTTTTTTTTTTTGCAGGGAACTCACCAAGAGAGGATGCCACAAACGTGTGGCCCCATCCAGTCCAACAGTCACCACTAGAAGCTCTGATCCAGGCTGTCCAGCTGATAAGAGACAGACCAGGTCAGAAGAAGGAGAGAAGCAAAGGAGCAGAAAAGAGGCAGGGAGGAAGGGAGACAGGTGACATGTCACTACCTGGGCAGGGTTCCAGGGCAGCTGCACAGTGGCTGATGGGTCCTGAGTGAGCAGGGATGCTGGTCAGCTCCACGCCCTGATGGTCCCACACCTTCAAGGCCCCATCCCGGCCCACGGACACCACATGTTCCTCCTGCCCCCAAGAGCACAGAATCAGAACGGGGTCATACTGAGAAGGTCATGGGAAGTAGGACTCCCTCTAAGAGCATCAGGGACTGGGAAGATGTCAAAGAATGAGGAGAACTCAGGAACAGTGGAGTTGGATGGCTCAGGCCTACAATCCTGCCACAAAGTCATGATACTAGGATGCCATATTTTCATGTTTCCATCTCTCTCTATATTTTTCTCGCCCTCTCTCTTTCCTCATATCAACCCTCAGCCTCAACCCTATAATCCAGTCCCAAGTATCTCATTCTTTTCACTCCTAGATTAGGTACTCAATGGTCCAGCCTCCCAAAGCCCCCTATCATTTCTAGAAACACCCAGAAAAGTCTATTGCATTCTCACCACAGCCACTACAGCGCTCACGGCACTCTGATGGCCCCGGAACTGGCCAAGCTGCTGTYCCGAATCTGGGTCCCAGAGCCCCACAGAGCCATCCGTGGAGCAGGAGAGCTGCAGAAGCAGAAGTCAGAGGAGTGGGACTATTGGCATCTCTTCATCATCTCTGTATGTTCACAATGTGGACTGGAGGGTAATAAGCCTTGTAATCAAGAGCATAGGCTATCCAGGGCTCAATCCCAGCTCAACTATTCATTGCTTTGTGATCTGGGGCAAGTTTATCTCTCTGAGCCTTGGGCTGCTCAACTATTCAAGGAACATAATGATAGTGTATCTCTTTTGAGACAGTGATTTGGGGGCTGGGTGCCTCTATATAAAGGACTTAACACTCTGCCTGGTACACAGAGCATAAAAATTATTATTCTTATGATTAATATTACATCAATCAACAAATYCAGATAAAGGTGAAAAATCCACAATGCTAAGGAGAGCTCTGTCTGTCTAGAAGGCAGGGACAGGATAGACTATTCAACCGATATTCCCTCCTTTCTCATCTCTTCTCTACAGTGGGAAACTAGGCTTTACCAACACTGAGTGCAAAATTTGAGACTCAAGTTGTGCCTTAGAACCAAAGAAGTCATAGCAGTACCTTCAAGCTGCAGAGCCAGGGCATCCCAAGCTCTAAAGAGATAGTATTATCTTATTGTTAAGAACATGGGCTTTTCTATCAGAATGTTTATTGGCTTAGCTTTATAATTGACATGACTTTGGAAAATGTTCTTTATTCTATCTGAATCTGTAAAACAAAGATAAACAAGTAGGTACTTTACAGGGTACTATAAAGATTAAGTGTAACAATCTTATTCAAAGAGCTTCGAATGAGCCTGGCACTCAGTAAATGGCACTAAGTACTTTGTAAATGTTAGATATGATTATTATTAACAAGTTCTAGAAAAGGAGTGTTGTCTTCCCCCAGGAATACTGCTGGACTCTGCTGCCCCTRTTCTGGCACTCACCAGAAGGTTGTCTTTGGTCCAGGAGCATCCAGTGACCCAGTCACGATGACAGGCAGGGAAAGAGCAAATCAGAAGAGGGGTTTGGGGCATCCTCACGTCCCAGCAGAGAAGATTCTGGATAGGTTCCAGGACAGCAGACAATCAGGATCATAGGAGGGAGATAGGAACACAAGGGCCATTTCAGGTAAAAAGTTTTCAGGAGAGAGAGCACAAGAGATGATAGAAAGATTTGCAGGAGATTTGGCAGAGCAAAAAGCAGGAGGAAGTGCTGGGAAATGGGCTGTTTAAGAAATCCAGGAACCCGAAGGACTGCAGGGCCCTGGGGATATGTCCCTGTTCAGCTTACCCGATCCCTGCCCCCAGTGGCCAGTCTGCCTCCATCAGAGCTGAAGCTGCAGCAGTTTACAGGGCCCTGGTGTCCCAGGAGCTCAGTGTCACAGGGAAAGTCTTCTGCCTTAAGCGGCTGCATCAGCAACTGCCTTGACCACAGCCGCACCGTGAAATCCTCTGCATTGGAAACAGAATAGAAGGATTTCTGAAGGAAGGAGCAACATGGTCCTGGGAGGCCAGAGACAAAGGCAACCACGTGGGCTAAGGGTGATGTCTAAAGCTACAGCTTCAAGGGTGGGAGGCAGTGAGTCACTTGATGTGGAGAGGCTCTGGGCAAGGGTCACACAGAAATGCTCGGCAACTCCCAGCTCCAGCTCTGCAGCTTAGGCAAGGAGCATGGCTCCACACCTCTCTCTAACTTCACAGGGCAGCTGCTCCAGGGCCCTCCCCTTCTCAAGGGTGCAGTGTCACTTTCAGCTTACTATCCGTGAACATCAAGCCTCTAACCACAGAGAGCCAAGCCCATTCTGCATTTTCACCTCACATCTCTCTCTCCTCCTGAAGGAAACCCACGTGTTCACACTGTTATGTGTTTCTCTCACTGGGCAGAAACTCAAAGCATTACTGGGAGTTTAGAGTTCCCAAAATGAGGGTAGGGGAACAAGAAGAAACAGTCTACAATGATTATAGAAAGACARATGCATTCAAAGCACCATGAAAGTTGTAAGCAAACAGACATTGCCTATGCGTATGTGTTCTCATACATACATGTATATAATTATAACTTGAAGGCAGGTATCAGCATATTTAAAGGAATGATTTGGTAATCCTGCCCACTGCTCAGTAGTACCTGAGGCAGCAGCCAAGAGTTCCTGGGAGGTGGCCAGTCCCAGCACAGGYTTCTGGGATCTGGACAGGAGCCAGAGGGACTGGAGGGAGTGTTCCTTGAGCACCCAGCCCTGCAAGGATCCGTCTTCTGCACCACTCACCAACACCCTGGAGCTTAGCCAGGCCAGTGCAGATACTGCTACATCTAGCACCTGACACTGAGCTCCCTGGGAACCTATGGAGTGAGAGAAGAGAGTAAGACATTTAAAAAGGGGTGGAGCAAGACGTATGCTCTTTCCAAAGGTACAAAAACCCATCCACTTTCCCTTTGGTACCTGGAGAGATTTTGTAGATCCTAATGCCATCTGCTCTGTACCCAACAGCCACCCGGTCACCATCTGGGCTGAGAGCCACAGAAAGGGCAGGAGAGACAGGAAGAGAGCCCAGGCATCCCCGGGGCTGTCCCAGAGACCCTGACCACACTTGAACCTGGGAACAGGGAAAAATGACTTAAGGATACTCCATCTCTACCACCCGGTACTTCCCACTAAAGGTAYAGTCACCCCAGTAAAGTCCTTCCATGAGAACTGCCCATGCATATACCACACCACTCTCCCTGTAGCTGCCACCATCTGTGACTCCAATCGCCTTGACAAAGCCCTCTGCCCTCACTCAAGTATTCCCTGTCTTCACTACTCCCTCCTAGAAACCCACCATGTGCCCTCTGTAACCTGACCTTGCCATCCTCTCCAGCTGTCAGCAACTGACACCTGGCATTCAGGAAAAGCACAGAAGCAACAAAGCCACAGTGGGCRGAGAAGGCAGCCAGTCGTGCCCCATCTTGCCAGGCCCACAGCTCCACTGTCCTGTCCAGCCGGCCGACAGCCACAACCCTTCCAGGAACATTGAAGGCCAATGTCCGGACAGAAGCTCCAGGGGCGCCCAGTTCCTACACCAGGAGGCCAAAATGGAAATGTCAGGAACTACTCTTAGCATAAGCCCAAAGTGATACAGAATGCAAATGTCCATCATTCCTTCTTCCCACTCCTGTCCTCAAGTGCTTCCTCCCCAGGGATTACACAGGACCTTACCTTGATGACTTGGAGGCCATCCACCMGGAAGAAGCTGATGCTGCCACCCCAGCTGCCTGTGGCTACTACCTGCCCTTCAGGGTGGAAGGCAATGCAGTTCAGGGACTTGGGACAGGTGTGTTGAAAGGCCAGTTGCCCACGAACTGTGTCCCACAGCTAAAGAGAGAGAGAAGAAGCTTCAGGGTATGAATACAGATGCCAGAGTTTCTTAGTCCCAAAGCTCCAGAGGCTGCCTTGTCTAGTCCCCTACCTCAGCAGGTAGGACCTCCCTGCCATGTGGAGAGAACAAACTCACAAGGCTCACTCACAATTTAGGACCACTTTGTCATTACCTTTAGGCATCCTCCAAGGCACACAGTAGCCAGCAGCCTGCGGTCTGGGCTCAGGCAGCAGCCGGTGATTTGGTACTGGTGAGCCTTGGTCTGAAGTACCCTGTCCCAGGAAGACAAAGTCAGGTCTCTGGGGCTGCCTAGCCATATGCTCCCTCCTCATTCCTTTTTCCCAAGGAAGTAAAGGGAGTCCTCACTAGGAGACATGGGGAAAGAAACCCTTACCGACAACCATGCTGCAGGTCCCAGAGCTCCAGTAGCCCATCGAAGGCAGTAAGGAAAAGGGCACTCTCTGAGAGGAATGCACAAGAGGAGATTCCATCACAGCCACTCACCACAGACTTCTCCTCCTATGAGAGCAAGCAGGGAGGCATGGCTTGGCCACTCCCTCCACCCTCCATGTCCAACCACTCCAGGTCCCAACCAAAAATGAGACTAAGGCAAGAAGGGCTTAAGCCCTGAGCTCTCTGCATTCCCAGCTTTAACACAGCTTCTAGTGGGGCTCATGATCCAAGTATGGAGAAATCTTCACTCCAAACCCTATTCCTGTTCCCCAAGTCATGGGTTTTCATGGGTCTGAGGGAGTGAAGATATATATATATATATGAATATATATGAGTTACAACAAGTGGTAGGAAGAGAAGAGGGAAGCTGTGGCTATGGGACTCCCCTCCCCAGCCTAATATGCCATTACCTTCTGCTGAAATTGTTCCCAGAAATTTATAAGAAACATTTCCTGTGTCTTTTCTGAGGCACCTCACTCAACCCAGAAGGCCTGCCCTTCTCTATTCTGTGTCCCTCTTTCT